TACGCCCGTACCCAGGTACGAGACGCGAGGGTGAACTTAGAATTTGTTTTTGGCTTTGTACGCCCGTACCCAGGTACGAGACGCGAGGGTCATTTTTGTATTTCAAATCAAAAATTTTCCGATTCTGATGTGCAAGCCCAGTGACAGATGTCACTGGGCTTGTACGCCCGTACCCAGGTACGGGTGTACAAGCAGACCTTTTTCCCAGTGACAACCCCTTAACGGGTGCCCCGTCATCCTCGAGACCCCCCTGCTTGTACACACGTACCCAGGTACGGACGTACGAGCCCAGTGACAAATGTTACTGGGCTTGCGCGCCAGAATGAAGCCACTTACAAATTCTAATAAAACTTTAAGATAATGACAAGTTTTGTGTAATGCAACGGCAATCGGCTCAGAGTTTCGCGTGCGTTCAACGTCACTTGATCATCGCTTGCGTGACCATGTCGGTGCTCACTGGTGTGGATGCCACACGTGAAGCTGCTGAAGCGCGGCGTGCGGCGAAGACTGCCAAACTTGACATGGATTTGAAGAGCTATGTCACATGAAAATGGCTTTGATGGCTACATGCAGGACGTTCTTGTAACTTGACATTTATTAACATGTCATGGTATAACCCTTCATGCAGTTGCGCCACTGACTTTGTAACCATACTTTCATGACATGACGGTCTGTAAAAAAACTCTGAATTGCATGACCCCAGCACGGCGGCTGTGATTGAGGCGTGGGCGCCAAGCTCCCAGACCCGACAGGTGCAAAGGCAGTGGTCAGATCAGCTTCCGACATCAAGAATTTGTGCAACAAGAAGGCCAAGGTTCAGACAGGAGGCAGCTGTGCCTGGTTGAACTTGGAGGACCCTGGAAACAATTAAACACGCCCCATGTTGTCCATGGCACGCTACCATATGATACCCCGTGAACAGCCCCTGACCCTGATTGTATTAGTTTTGACATGTGGTTGTTGACTCATGTTTGACATGTTCAAACCTAAGTTTGGCATGCGGTTGTTGACTCATGTTTGACATGATCAAACCTAAGTTTGGCATGCGGTTGTTGACTCATGTTTGACATGTTCAGAACTAAGTTTGGCATGTGGTTGTTGACTCATGTTTGACATGTTCAAACCTAAGTTTGGCACGTGGTTGTTGACTCATGTTTGACATGTTCAAGCATATGTTTGACATGCTGTTGGTGACTCATGTTTGGCATGTTAAAACTTAAGTTTGACATGTGGTTGTTGACTCACGTTTGACATGTTCAAGCTTACGTTTGACATGCGGTTGCTCATGTTCCAACTTAGGAGCGGGCTCTGAATGTTTGGCAGACTCGCCGGATTGAGACGGTCTTGCTGAAGTGGGATTTGGTGCCAGGGGACTTGGGCCAGACCTTTGGGTCAATGAGACCTTTGAAGGACTCACTCGCTTTAATGGAGACTCCGAGTCAGACGCCCAGGAGAGTAACAACTAGCAACTAGCAAACTGTGAGTCAAAGCAACTTGAACCTTAACTTAAACAATGAACAATGAACCTTGAGCGTTAAGGCTTGCAGCTGCCCTCCTGATCATGTATTGGAACAAGGAGAATGAACATGCACTACACTGGATGAAACGAGAATTGGCGGATGTTGTCCTCGAGTTCTTTCCGTACGGTACAGGGTCACAATTCGACCTGGAGAAGTTTGGCACCACAGAGTTGAATTTGTCATAATGTTCATGAGGTCATTTTGGTTCTACACATGGGTCACTTTGGGTCACTCATTGGTTTCATAACGACTGCTTTAAGTATTCATGGGTCACTTTGGTTCTACAGACTGACTGACTGCTTTTGTTCTTGAGGCATCGTTGAGGAAGAGGAACGAGACCGGTCCGTCATTGGGCTCACCGCTTCGAACAAGTGCCTGGTTCTTGCCAACATGGTAGACAACGCGATGAGGGAGATGGGCGGGGCGGTCTCGGAAGACGCCGCCATCCAGTCCCTTCTTACGAAAGGCACTTACATGCAAGGGTGGCATCCTGGCTGCCATGTAACATATTCTGTCCATGGTACTTATCATGTTAAATGTCATTCTGATTCCCAAAACATGTCATCATGTTACCATGTCATGCTATTCTTTGGCCTTCAATTGTCATGTTACCATGTCCATGCTTCCATGTCATGCTAGAGTATGGCCATGTTGCAACCGCATGCTATCATGTCGTTCATCCATGTTGCCATGATATTCCCACGTTGCATGCTGAAGGAACGTCGGCGCCTGCCAGCGCTACACAAGCCTTGGCAGAAAGCTTCAGGAGCTACCAAGTGTTATGCAGGCGCTGGACAACATGTCCCATCGTTTTGGCCGTGATGGCCCCCTCGACGGCGTCGCGAACCTCCGCTCCCTTTTCCAGTTGGGCGCCAGCCAGGAGACATGGTCTTCATCATCCAAACGCTTGCGCTTGAGACTTTTTGATTTCAGTAGTAGACATGACATGACATGACATGACCATATATGACCATATGACCATCATGTATGTTTCACTGTGTTTCACACTCTGACTTAGGAAAGCCGCTGGCATCCGCAAGGTGCTCCAGCCAACAAGGGTTGGCACACAGAGGTATGAGATTGAGTTGGACCGGTACTTGAAGGCTTCTGCGGAGAATGAGACGACGCAGATCAAAGAGTATATCATGTCCAGGATTGCGTTTGTCATTGATGACCTCTCAGACGACCTCCCCAGCAAGGTCAGTAAACAGGGCCTTGCAAAGGAAGCCAAGCGAAAGATGTGCGTCTACTCTTCTGAGCTTTTTGGTACGCAAGCAACACACGGTCCGATAAATAATAACCTGCCCATGTTTCATGCTTGACGCGTAACACCGTGTCCGATGAATCACGCTCGACATATTGTGTGTTTCATGTTTGTCATGGTTGACATATAATTTCTTAAACATGTTGACATATGTTTTACATATTACATGTTTGACCGTCATGATTTTTTAAATATAATCATCATCATGTGTTGCATGTTTCATGTTAACCATGTTTTGCGAAGTTTCATTTTTCATGTTTTTTAGGCTGAGTGGCCCTGTGGCATGGCAGCAAATCAAGGCCCGCAGGTTGAATCCGTTTGGCGGATTGGGTCCGGGGATCTCCAAGTCCCGTGTTGAACGCGTGGTGAACATCTATGAGGCCGGGGTGGGGTTCACTGTTCGTGGCTACATGATCCACAGTTTGTTCACTGGGGTGGAGTTCGCTATGAAGCATGGAAGGATTCTCCAGTCATTCTGTGGCAGGAGATTCGCCGCGGGTACATGGAGAGTACATGTCCTTGCTGATCATCACCTGCAAGGTTCCAGCAAAGTTGGCAATGTGAACATGGCATGGCATGGTAACGTGAACATGGCATGGCATGGCAATGTGAACATGGCATGGCGTGGAATGCTGGCTTGGCGTGATTGCCATGCCCATGTAAATAAAAGACATGACTGGGCATGACATGACATGTCACATGCTAGTAGATTCGTATCCAGTTGCTTTGAGGTGGACACTGTCAAGACCAGATCAGCTCTTGACGTCATCAAAGCGGAGGTCAGCAAGCTCACAGGGACCGAGAAGCATGTCATGACTGTGGCCACCATTGAGCCCAATGCCACGGACAGCCTTCAGCGGTTCAAGCGTGGCCGCCGAGCGCTCGGCTCGAAGGTCGAGGACCGCTTCGTTGCGACCAGTGTGGCCGCAATTGGTTCCGCACACTGCGGCCAGATGGCCTACCTGGAAGGAGATACGTACGAAATGGCCGGTGAGGCTCATTCCGCCTCCGCCAGATGGAGGAATCCGCATGTGAGAAGCTCTACGTGTCTTGGCATCACGATAGCCACAGTCATGACATGCTTTTGGGTCCGTGTAAGCTTGCTGAACTCCCCCTTGATGACGTCAAGAGCTGATCTGTCATGTCATGTCATGCCAAGTCATGTCTGCCATAGCTATTGACGTGTCATGTCATGTCATGCCAAGTCATGTTTGCCATGGATGTCATGTCACGTCATGCCAAGTCATGTCTGCCAATAAGTAATCCGCACGTGAGTGACATGGCAAGGAGAACGACGTCGCCGGAGATCGAGATGAAAGCGAAGACTGCCACGGAACCACGGACGCGATGGACTTTCCGGTCACTGACAAGACGGTCGTCGCGTTCCCCCACGAGCATCATTGGGCGCTGACGCAGGAGTGGCTCAATGTCTTCTGTGGAGCGAGCAATGTGCTGCTGGTGGACTTGACACCGGGGAGTGGGGCAAAGCTGCTTGGCGTGTTGCTGAGCAATGGCCGTGGGATCGGGGTGGCCCGAACGGCCGGGCATCAAAAGTGGATCATGGAGAATCTCATCCTGTGGGTGCGCCAGAAGAGGCTTGTGAACATCCAGCTGCTCCCGAAGCCTGAGGCCTTGGTTTCGTAGGAGAAGACCCACTTGAAGGCAGCTGTAGCGCCGAAGCCATCGCCAACTCCGAGCCCGACGCCAACTCCGAGCCCGCCGTCATCCACGCGAGTCCAGCCTCCGTTTATGCCAAAGAGTGCTTCCGAGTCAGGCCCAGTGAAGCCGACGGGATTGCTTGAAGCCTTGTGTCCACCAGTTGAAGCAGCTGGATAGATCTGAAGATCAAATAGCTTGTTAGAGCGTGTCAGCCTAGATGACAGCTGGCAGGTTTTTAGATTCACGCGGGCAGCAGAGTCCGTCCATGGGATGAAAAATTAACTTCTACTATGCGGCTTGCACAGTTTTCATGTGACATTGTGCCATGACATGATGAGAAGCTTGGCCACCCATGGTTGACAAACATTGAAGGCCCAGCTAATGCAATGAAGCATGGCCGTGTCTCCCCAAGTCCCGCTTTGCCGCATTCGCTCCAGCCACCTGTGGAGGCAGAAACAAGGCATGGGTGGAGACTGTCATGTTCTAGACTGCTTGGCCCTTTAGGTTCAAGATCAATTTCTTTAAAACCCCTCACCTGCCAAATGTCTCGCCTGAAACAACCCTGGCTAAATCACCCACAGTGAAGTTTTCCCACAAAGGCTTGCTCACATTGTGCTCAGCCCAATCACACGCGATCCTATGGATAGCACGAATTTTGCGCTTGTCATTCTTCACTTAAGACCATGGCTGCCGTCGCTGTGACCTGAGCAGGTGAGCAAGTACATGGCCTCATCTAATGTCATCATAATAGTTATTATATCCAAGGCCATGACTCTATGATTTTGGATGCAGAAATCGCAAGTGCGCCGAAAAGGCAATCACCATTGGAAACTGTGTCTTTGATACACATCCCATTGAGGTCCGCATGTTCCATAAGGGCATGGGGGCAGGAAATTCCTCCACGACCTTGTCCTTGAGGATGGTCTGGACATTCCTCCGTCGCGGCCCATGACGGTGTAATCAAAGGCCGAGCGGCCATCCTAAAAGCTAGTTACCTGTCACATGACTAATGAACGGTCGCGTGTGACAAAACAAACATGGTTGATGGCAAACTGCTGCCGATGACATCCTCAAGTCTCATAAGCATGGCGGCTGTGGCAAAAACAACATGCGAACTACATGTCACGTCACGTTTCATGGCAAGCTTCTTATGTCCATCATGTCAACAATGGGTGGCATACCTATTATCAGTCAAACATGGCAAGTTTCTTATGTCCATCATGTCAACCATGGGCGGCAAACTGTCAAATCATGGCAAGCTTCTATTGTGTCTGTCATGTCAACCATGGGTGGCAAACTTAATTATTACACCAATAATTATCAGTCAATTTGTGTCTTGATCCATGGCCAGCCTGACCCAGCTTTGCTTGGACCTTCTTGTTGTGGAGCTGATGATACAGAGATACTTTTCTTCACAGAATTGTGGTTTGGTGTCATGCCATGCCATGCCATGAATTTGGGGTCATGGCCAAATCATGTGTAATGTCGTGCACTGGCTTCCCAATATTTCCTGAGGATGATCATGATAGCTTTGAGCAATGACTTCCACTGCTGGGGGTTGGAGCCGGAAGCATCTTACGATGACAACCATGACGAGCCACTAGATACTTTTGAGTACCCGTGTACTGACAAACTTGAGGAGGTTTGGCAGGATGACCCTGTCTCCAAGCAACTCACACTGGTCGAGTGCGTGCAGGATTGGGACCCATGGGCTCAACCAACAAGCGCCCTTATTGAGAAGTTTCAGCTGGTCTCGGATGCCTCTGGACCTTTGGCGCAGGGAGCTGCTGTGTTTAAAGCCCGGCAGTTTGCGATGTACCAGCTGACACGTGAGTCTCATGCCTATGAGGAGTTTGCTGTTTCAAGAATTGGCCCATTGCCATGTAAGGCTTATTGGGTGATTGTTGCAAGTCTTTGGAACATGTGCTGCACGCTTAATTCAATGACTTGGCATGACATGTGCTGCATGATTAATGCAATGACTTGGCGTGACATGTGGCTCCATGATTAATTCAATGACTTTGCATTACACGTGCTGCATTATTAATTCAATGACTTGGCATGACATGTTGTCATACATGACATGTTGTCACACATGACATGTTGTCATTCATGACATGTTGTCTTACATGGCTTGTCATGACGTGACATGACATGTAAAGGGTCATGATGCACGCTGACACCAGGGTGGCTGCCATGCAGGAGCTGAGTCAGGAGGCGTACCAAAAAGCAGAGCGAGCTCTACGTTCTTGTTCCTACTTATTGACCAAGAGCTCTGGGAAATTTCCGGCCATTGCTCACATGACCCGAGCGTCTTATGCCCGTGCTTGCTTGAAAGCTTGTCAGTTCATTGACCTTGACTGCATCGTGAAGGACATGGAGACGGATTGCCACGCTGGCAAAAACCGCCACCAGTGTATGGATATGTTCAAATCCTCCCCTTCCCATTGCGCGGAACTTCAGGATCTTGTGGGCTAGCTTGCCCCGTGTGCAGCGGCTGGAATACCTCTACAAGCTTGTTCGGGAGAAAAATGGTCAGTTTCTCTTCATGGGCGTGTTTGTGTGCCAACGGGCCTTTCAAGTGCTGACTGGAGTGCCAGCTGGCACGATTCAGCAAGCCCGTGAGGCAGTGCAGCAGAAGGTCACCACTGCTATCACACGGCGGGAAGGGATGATGTGGGCTTCGATCCGCAACAGCAGCGCCGCTCCGCGGTATTTAGACGCCAGGGCTTGGATCGAGGCTCACGCCGAGAAGTTCGCGGAGCACAGCCCTATAACGGGTCAGTACGTGCTTCCATGTGGACGTAAGTCCGACTACTATAGCATGTACTGTTGGGAGCGCTGGCATGACGTGTTGCACCACTTAGATGGGAAGTGGGCAGCGCAGAACACGTTTCTCCAAGCCTGGCGATGTGACCCCCGATTTGATCAGTATGTTCACTCATTATGTTCACTCACTGGATATGTTTTGACCATGATGATTTGTTAATGATGGTCCTCTGATTAGTGCCTTTTTTCTTTGCTTGGATGGCTCACTTTAAGTCTATCAAGCCGTTTGCTCAGGAATGCTTCCATGTTGTGATCGCGGAGCGCACCAGCATGTTTGTGGCCTGCCAGGTATGCAAGTTCTTGCAAGCCTTGATTTCCTCAACTCCGAGGCAGCATGCCGAAGCGCTTGATGCGCTGAAGCTCCGGCTTGGACGGCATTACGCATTTCAGGCCAGTCAACGCTTGGCTGACGAACGTCTGATGGAGCAGACCCGAAGGTCGGACAATGCTGAATGGTAGCTTGAATTGATTTTGACATGTAGTGACTGTTAGTTGGACTAAGTGACAGTAATACAGACATGTGTAAGGTAAACATGGCCCCATGTTTTCCTGGATTGGACAACCTGAGGCACATACAGGTGGACAAGATGGATCAAACCAAGACGAACCTGCCCCACATCCACCCGTTCTGGCTTTGGATAATATTAAGCGTGATCATGATGCCATGTTGCCATGTGACATGTAGTCATGCTGCCATGCTCGTGTGGAGGTCACGCCACAAGGCCATGTGACATGTAGTCATGCTGCCATGCTTGCGTGGAGGTCATGTCACAATCTGTCATGGATTCGTCAAGGTTATGTTGCTGTGTTTGACATGATGTTACGTTTTGAATTCACGTGCTCGGCAATCTCAGGCGTGCCACCCCGCTGATGAAGACCGGGTTTGTCCTGGTGGTTGGACTTGTGGCAACAATTTGGAACGGGGCTCCCAGGGACGACGTGGTGTTGACCACTTTGTATGAAGGTGATTCGAAGCATGGCGGCAACATGCAGGCAAGCTTGTTGTTCATGAACTTCCACCGTAAGGTGGTGGCTACTGGCGTGGTCCCAGAAAGCTTGGTGATTTCTGCGGACAATACACCCAAGGAAACCAAGAATGCTTTGGTTTTCACCTGGATGGTTTGGCTCTTGTGCTGCTTGAGGGAGACGCGGCTTTGGAGGGTTCGGACTGTCTACAAGCTTGTGGGGCACACTCACAGCCACTGTGATCGGCTATTCAGTCGTGTCAAGGCCAGTCTTATGGGCAAGTCCTACATCTCCGAAGATGACATGATGAATATCATTGTGGCAACTTTGAAGTCGTACACATTGGATTGGAACCACCTGCATGCTTCTCTGAACTTTGAGGAGTTGAAGAGACTGCTGGGACTGGAGATACATGCAGTCGGGAACGTGCATGACCTTGAAGTCTTCAGGACAAACGGTGGCATCTATGTGCGGTGGAAACAATACTTGAGCACGCCTCGTGGTGGCAGCAGAGAAACATCGACAGTGGCGATGGCCAGGCCCCCGCACATCCGTCACTGCTTCAGTCAGGACATGAAGACAAACTTTCGTGACTTCCTGGGGAGGGTTGAAGTCCAACTTGGCTCCATGAATCTTTTGGATGACCCCGTGAAGGCTGGCATGGCCTGGTTGAACAATGTGACTCAGCAGGACACGGACAGTGTCTTGCCAGTTGACGCCATACTTTCTGATATCGGACGTGGTGGTGCTGCAGTTGGCACGATTCGGTCAGAGAGCATGGCTTCTGTGCCTGAGGACGTGCTGTTGTTCAATTGCCCTGGGGCTGACATGCCTGGGATGCCGCTGGAAAATTTGGTCCGGTTGGGGGGAACTGTCCAGGACGAGCCGGCGATTGAGATCATGTGTGTGACAGGGGACTTTGCAATTGTAGACAACACGAGCTCTTCGAAAGCCCTCCCCTTTTGCTTGGGTGAGGTGATTGACATTGATGAGGACTCTGCCATCATTCAATGGTGGCATCCTGGCAAGAGCAAAGAGGCCAATTTGAAGGCCGGCCGAAAGAAGGCCATTTTAGACTTGTTTGGAGAGTGGGCTCCAACCGACGACCTGCCGTTGACCGAGTTAGAGCCTCTCCCTCCTTCCATCCTCAGCCCGTCCAAGATTTTGATTTGGGGCTTCAACCTGGAATCTGGCCAGGTGCCCTTTGAGATCTTAGACAAAGTCATGGATCTCGACTTTGTCGATTTGACGGGCCTCAAGCTCTCCTCAACAAAGAGAGGTTCCCTGTACCGCGCGCACCGCCTCATGCGCACGCAGTAGAAACATGCTTGCCATGCTTGCCATGCACATGTCATGATTCAATTTTGACATGAGCCTACATGATGTTGTTGTCGGCTTGACGTGAAGGGGTTTTGTTTGTGTGTGTGCCATGAGGGGTTAACTGATTGACATATGACATATGATTCATGTTAGCTGGGTTCCCGTATCTGTTTCACTGGTAGGTTATGACATGACGGCTTGTCAAGTTGAACATGAGTTGTGTTCCATCTTTACCCGGAACTTGTCCAGGATATGTTCTTGTCCACGTGCTATCTGCCCACGCAGGACGCGAAAGCGAAAGGATGATCCTGATGAGAGGGAGTTTTGGAAGAAAGTGCAGAAGTTCGTGAAAGAACTGATGGAAAATAATGATTCCAAAAGCCTGACTCTTCAAGATGTACAAAAAGACCTGTTGAATGGACAGGAACCCCAAAGTGTTGCCAAGTTCAATGCAACTGTGGACTCCTGTGTGTCACATTTCCATCACAAAGAGCGTGAGGCCGCTTCTTCTGAGAAGCCAAAGGGTGTCATAAAGCCAATCTTGAAGAAATGACTTTGCCATGAAAAGAGCGTGCAGTTGTGGCATGTCATGGGGTCATGCTGTTTTAAAACATGCTCATGCGAATAGATGAAATAGGCATGCCATGCCGTGACATGATTTTAGACTGATGTCCATGATGGGCACGCCATGCTGTGATATGAGGGTAAGGGGAAGTAACATGACAGGGAGGGTAAGGGGAAGGGAAGTAGGTAAGTGGCTAGATTGGTAGGTGGGTAGCTACCTTCAAAGTGGCTAGAACCAGGCCCAGCATCAAAAAAGTTATGGCATCAAAATTCACACATTATTTCATATAATGTATTAGCTTAACTATGCATTCAATTAGATGAGTCGCATATGGCATATGAATGCATAACGTGCCGCAATCCTGGCGTAGGCACTATTGCCACCAACCAGCACTCTTTGGATTGTTTATATAACCTGTTACGCCTGCACGGAGAGGGCGGTGGAGAGAAAAAAATTGAACCCCCAACAGTCTTTTTCTGTCAAGATCACTGACAGAAAATTTTGGTGTAGTTTATGATGTTTGAATATGATAAGCTTCATTTCGATTCCGAGCCGCACATTGCACATGTCATATGTTGATACTCTGATTTTCTTGTCGCTTGAGACTTCAACTTGGTGAGTTTTTGGAGGTGAAGCGTCTTACACTTACAGCAGTCTTGCACAAGTTTGATCAACGTGGCTTTTCCCGCAGGAGTTTTTTGCGGAACTCTGCATGCTGGCAGTTCTCCAGTTGGAAGTGCCGGCAGGTGGCTTTGGAGGTGCTGGGATGGCTGGCAAGCTTGCATTGAAGCAGACGTTTGAAACGTTGGCAGGAAGCTACTAGTAGCAAAGGGCATTTCTACTAGTAGCGAAAAGCTATTAGGTTGGAGGCCATCGCTACTAGTAACAAGAAGCTCCTAGTAGTTTTTTGTTTGGCTCTTGTTTGCTCGTTTGTTCAGTGGTTTCTTCAAAGCATGGGATGCTTAGGCTTGAGATTCGTGCCATGAAGCTGCCCATCGGCTCGACCAAAGCGTCGCCAAAAGTGAAAGGCAAGCAATGGAACAGAAGTGGAACAGACCCTGTTTTCAGTCTCCTTCCCGCTGGTGTTTTCAAACGTTTTCAGTAGGCTTGTCTCTTGTCACCATCATGATGTTCCATGATGTTATAACCAGCTAGCAGCTAACCAAGCAACGATTCCTTGACAGCACCATTTCATAAGTGTGACGAGCTCGGGTTTTTACTCTGCCAACACTTTTGGCGTAGAAGTTGGCGGCAGTGCCATTTAGCGTCCGCCTGATGTCTGTGGACGCCTGGATCATCATTGATGAAGGCGGTGTGCTCCGAATGCTCGACGACGATGAGGTGAATGAGATGATTGGCATCCGCCGGGGCCTTCCAGAAGAAGCCATTGACAACTACACGGTATGCTACACCTTCACGGGAGCACAGTTGCTGGAAGATGAGGCAGGTGATGTTGAAACACATCCGCAAAATTTGACATCTTCATTCTGTTGAACATGTGCAATTACAAGGACACACGTTTCAGGTTACGTGATGCTTCAGTGTTTTGTGCTTCCAGCCTTGGCATGCACAAAGCCAAGGTAGCAGAATGTCGACACCCGCTCAGGTGCAGGGCAAATGCACAATCTGCATGGAGGAGTTCGTGGGTGGTGATAGCTTGCGCTGTCTACCTTGCCTCCACTCCTACCATGTCCCATGCATTGACAAATGGCTGTCTTTGAGCCAGGCATGCCCCGTCTGCAAGCACAACGTGATGGCAACCACGACGCCATGCTTCGATTCGCCCACTGGGCAGATGAGATGTCCCGTTCCACCACTCTCTACGGCCTGGCAGTTCAACCGTTTAGCCCGTCCGAGCTTTCAAGTGATGCCGCGTCTACCTTTGCTCCGGGCCCCTCTTCCACATTCATCTGCCCGAGTGAATGCACCGCAGAGGACCTACCCCTCATCCGCAGGGTCCGCAGGGTCCACGGTGTCGTTGCACAGAGGTGCCGTGCCTGCAGTACCTACACCAAGCATGCGCAGCATGCTTGTCCGCGCGCCCACTTTTGTGGCAACACCGATGCCCAGCCAAGTGGTTCCGACAGCAGTGGCGTCAGTAGCGGAGGAAAGTGAGAGCGAGAGTAGTTCGAGAGGAAGCAGCACGAGCAGCAGTGGCAACAGTTCACCGTAGCCATGCCCTAGTAGGCACTGGCCAGCAGGAGCTGTGCAGGGTGCAAACACGCATCCTCAACAGGAAAAAGGTGCAGATGTCGATGTGATGCATCAGGGAATTACCTTGAAAACCAGGCTAAGGGCAGACTTTGGGTTTCTAGACAAGCAGATTACCTGCCAGACAGGGAGGATAAAAACAGACTGAACAAATTCTCATCAGCCCGATGCCAGGTGAAGTGGGAGGAGGTGAACCAAAGCATGTGAAAGGTGCAAAAGAAGCGGACATTATATATATTTAGATGTTATCGGGGTCGCTGCCAAGCAGAATCTTGAGGGGTGAGTATGAGAGCAAAGAGGAGCAGCCAGTCACAACTGGATCTCTTTGTGTTTGCCAAGCTTTTTCTTTGCAAGCGTGCGTGGGCCAAGTTAGCTTGTCATGACATTTGCAGTATCAAGCTACAGGCAGCTGCAGGTAACGCTCATCATTGCCCGCAATTTGCATTCCTTAATGGGTCACCATGCCCCAGTTTCCAAGATTGTAGACCGCGGGACTTTGTTGCAGCTATGCCGCACGCCAATGAAGCAGAAGGGACTGCAAAACGGTGCCTTAGGTGATTCAAAGCAAGCTGCAGGGTGGGCCAAGCAAGACCTGGTTTCTGTTGCTATTTTTTCCAGGTTTCCATATACAGAAAGCTCATGGCTGTACCATTGTTTATGCAGATTTATGAATGCGGTGTTGAAACTGCTGGGGCTTGTTCTTTTGACCCGCAGCTTTGCATGTTCATCAGGTGCTGTCTAGTGGACAATGCAGTTAAAACGGTTAGACTACCTTAAAACTCAGTTTCCTGGCATTCTCGCTGAACTGTAGCAGATGTGGAAACTGGCCGCCAAAACCAAAGCTTGGGCCGCCAGGCCGTGGCTTCACACATCATGTTTTGAGACCTAGTGAGGCCTTCGTGCCGCCACATCTCGGCTTGCTGCACTGGGCCGTGCTGCAGCATGGCAAAAAGCACTGCATGTCTTCAGCACCATTTCAGAAGGTGGACTGGCTATAAACTGGGCAAGGCATGGCAAGGTTTTGATCGACGCAATAGAACCAAATAATGTTGGGTCTTAAATAGTAAACCGCCGACAGCGAGGTGGTGGTGGTGGTGGTGGTCGTGGTGGTGGTGGTGGTGGTGGTGTGAAAGTTCGACACCTCGTTCGAAGCCGTCCTTTCGGTCAAACACAGTTGTTCTCATGTTTCCATACACGAACAAATCAAGAAGTGTACTGCAGTATGCATGGAAGCCTTTTCGTAGAAGCTTGCAGTTGACATGGACTGTTTTTGAGCTTCGTTCAAATGCCTGTCGCGCCCAGAGCGACATCAACCCGGGTGATGCGCTTACGCATTGTCCGGGTGCATTCGGGTGATGCGCTTACGCATTGTCCGGGTGCATTCGATGCATGTCGCGCCCAGAGCGACAAATCGAGAAGTGTACCTCTCGCCACTGACTGTGGCTCAAGTGCGACGCAAGAAAAGCGTTGCGCGTCCGGATCGGGGCGTGGGCGTTTCGGCTGATCGCGGCCGAGGGCTGGGGAGCCATTCGATCACTAAAAAGGCGATCAAACAGCTCTCGACCCTATTTTGTAAAGCTTTGATGCCATTGCCAGTTTTCACGGCCATTTGGTTTTTTCACGGTTTCAACTCCTTGAGTTCACGTTTTTCACGCCTTTTCGCGGCCAAGAACCGTTTTTTCACGTCCAAATGCACACTTTTTCACGGCCTTACCGGCTTTTTCACGGCCAAATAATTGTTCACGGCCATACCGTTTTTTCGTGTCCAAATGGCCATTTGACCTTCGACCTTGTTTTTGGTGATCAAATGGCCCCCCAGGATCGATCGAACACGTTCGAAAGGTTTCAACTGTTTTCTTTTGGGTTCTCACGAGTTTCCAACTTGAAGTTAACCTTCATATGGTAGCGGAGCTCCTGCGGGAGCTGTAGGTTCCAATTCACTTAGGATAGGTCACGACTTTTCACCCGTAGAGTTTGAGCCATGGCCGATCGTGATGGAACTGCACCTCAAAGAGAACGATCCAGAGGAAGATCTGAAACTCGGAGCCGAAGGAGTCCGGAAGCGCAGGGGGTAGACACGTCAAGAATAGAGAGATTGGAAACACAAGTTGCGCGCCTTTCAGATTCGTTGATATCTCTTGGACCAGCCTTGCAACAGGTGATTCAATTGAGCACAAACCCAAACTTTGTTGCGCAGAGTGTTGCTGCCCCGACTGTTCTTCCG